ACTGTTGGCAAAATTTATCAGGTAAAAAAATGCTTGCAGAGTTTCCAGCCAGAACAAATAATACAACAGAATAAGAACATTTGGGAAGCCTTTTTTACTGTCTGCTTTTCCAACCCAGCCTCCCTCATTTACACATGTGGTGAAGGGAACAAAGAGAAACAGAACCAAAAAGAGATTATTTCATGGCTGCTGGGCCAGGTCCAGGCAGATAGTTTAAGCTATTAGATTATCAGTTTCCACATTGCACTCAGTATTATGGCACGAAATCTCTTTTGCTTTTTCTCCCAAACATTGCAAAAGATTTTGTTGTTGTTATTTTGGGTGTCCTTTCTCCAGATTCTGCCATTTTTGTTTCCATCTCTTGCAAAATACTCTAAACTACAGATCAGCAGCCAACAATCTGGCTGTAAATTACAAAACAATATGGAAAATTCAGCCTTGTTAAAATGATGGATTTCCTACTTATATGTCCCTTCCCACTTTACCAGGTTTGTTTTCCCTTCTCATCTTTTTCTCAGTCACTTCACCCCCTTCCTGTCCTGTTCCTGCCTCAAACCCCTGCCTCCATTCTCATTGCTGCCTAATTAATCTGTTATATCTTCCTTTGCTAGATTCCTGCCTATTCTGCACACCTAGGGTTGGCCATTCCAGTACAGCAGTGTTTCTCAATCTTGGCAACTTTAAGATGTGTGGACCTCTGAATTGGAAGAGTTACCTCAAGATATCTTCTCTTTCCTTGCGTTTTAATGGAAGTCTACACATCTTAAAGTTGCCAAGGTTGAGAAACACTGCGTTAGACAAAGTAAGGCAACCATCTTGTGCAGAAGATACACAGGTGTCAATATACTTTGGCTGTGTTTCCTAAGTTTTCCAGTGTGTTGGAAGACAGTCTGTCCTGATCCCCTAAACAGTCTCATATTCTCAAGCACAGTGGAGATATCGCCCTACGTATTAGAACTATTGAACTAAACTTTGACTGGCTATTATAAAATGTGGGATGGGGTAACTTATTCCCCTCTGCCTCAGGGAGCAAAATTTCTTGGCAATCATGTGCAATCAGTTGGTGTGTCTTTCTAGCAAAAACAAAACAACAGTAAAAACCCATGAACTAGGAAATCTCTGGTTTGAATTTCTTCTCTGCCAGGAACTCACCGCAATGCTTCAAATAAATTGTAATTCTCTCTAGAGCTAGGAACAGATTTTGGTTTTTAAATTCTCCATCAGGTTTGTGGAAAGAGAAATGGCAGAATGATTTCTCAGAATTTCTCCAAGGGTTTTCAAGGGTAGGACTTTCCCTTGGCGATTATAGTAGTGCTTCTCCGAAAAAGCTGAATTGGAAGAGTTCCCTCAAGATATCTTCTCTTTCCTTGGGATTTAATGGAAGTATGGGTAGCTGCAGACCACTGGGAGAGATTAAAAGGCCGGACAACGACATCGCCTATGGCCACCTCATTACTAAATAAATGAGAGGGATAAAGTATAGTGTTCTCCAAAATTCTATCCTTCTCAAAGGAATTTACTCAGGAAACTGGTAGAGAAAATGCAGGAGAATGTCTCTGGCTCTTGTTCACTCTTTATGCCATTACTAATTCCAACATGAATTTTCCTAACATTTTGGCTTATCTAGCAGCTGCTTACAATGGCATTCTTGAACTTTGGCCACACATGAAGTCAGAGAGATGAAAGAATCCCTCTGAGGCCCAAACCATGCTTCCCTCACCATCTTAGGTCAAATTAGGCATGATGTGGGAGATCCATTGTAATATTTCCCAGTGCCCTTTTTTCCTGCTAAAAAATAGCCATGGCTTTCAGAGTACTACAGCCTCATTTCCAAGGACCCACACATCCCCACAAAAACCTGTTAAACATATAAGCACAATATCAGTAATTCATGACCTACCTACAGAGTTTTCATAGCAGAGCAAACTAATTTGGTTCCAAGCAATTACAGTTCCCACTTGCCAGAAATTAACGGAAAGGCTTCAGAAATGATGCTTATATACACAAGAGCCCTAGCATCTCCTTTTCAATAAATTCAAAAGTTAGTATAAAGAAGTACAGGGTAGCCCTTGAGCCTTAAATGGTCCTTCTGAGAGTACTCAGAAAGGTAGATATGGAAACATTGAAAATTGAGCTTCTGACCCCCAGTTCACTGAGTATTGTAAAAGGATACTGCAATCAGTGTATACAAAGGTATAACAGAGATCTCTTATATCCAGTAAAGATCATCCATTAGGACAACCAGATCTATTTCCATGTCAAAACAGAGTCTGAACTCAGACCAGAAAAAAATCTAAATAATCTGTTTTCTCTAAGGTGCTTCCCTGTGTGCTTAATGCTTTCCTGTTCAGTCAACTTGAAAGTTACATTTTGGCAGCAACATCTATAGAAATTCAGAGAGACATACTCAAGATCCTGGAGAGCAGGATGTATTTGGCCCTAAGACCACAGATTGGGATCCCCTGTTGCAGATGCTGGATGTTGTAAGACCACAAAAGGCAGAGTCAAAATATTTTTCATGAACGTAGTATGATTTACTGCTCTTGGTTTGTGTACATATAAAACCTACTGAATGTCTATCAAAGTATTGACTCTACCTTAGCTTCTTCTCCTGCATTCTCAGTTGTCAGAATCTCTGCTGTCAATAAACAATATTGCACTGCGTCTGTTTTCACAGCCACATAAGAGTTTTTTGTGGCTCATCTTGCCCCAATATCTAGAAAATCACAGGCCAATAAGGAAAGGTTCCTCTTCTAGATAACCATGAACATTAGAAGAATTAAATTGCTAGCTTTACAAGCTGTATATTGTTTTGCACCTTGGGAAGCTCAAACCCTTGCTAGGTTCTGTGGTGGAGCTTTAAGAAAAAGAAATCTGAAATGTTCATATTCTCTAAAACCTTGTCAAGAATGGTGCAGCAGTACAGGAACGTTATGCCTTGTGAATCACTTCTATTTATTTTTGCATGACTTTAGCAATATACATATATATATTAACTCTCTTGGACTCTTGATTAATTTTATTCCAGCTTAGGTTTCCCCAAAGCCATTCATCAGCAATTTAAAGGATGAGACAGGCGAAGCCTGGGTCTAAGAAGGGGGAACAACACAGCTTTCGCCAGGTAATGACTTATTTCTCCTCCCTTAAATATATTTTTCTGAAACATCACTCTGAGCAACACCAAATGGCTGGAATTATCCATCCTTTCAACTGTGTACAATGTCCCCATTCTAAAACATTTAAGTAAATTAAGACGGTGATTAGTCACAGCCAAGCAGGACTATTTAGAGCATGTAATCATACAGAATAGGGCTGTGTAGAGAACCAGAATTGAGGGGCAAAATGTGATTGGAGAAAGGCATGGGTACACGTAGTACATGATGGACCTTAAAGCAGACTGCTTCCCATCCCATCCTGGGGTCAAGCAGCTGCGCTTTGCACTCTCGGCAGCCAATACACAATTCCAGGGAAAAATACATTTTGTTTAAAGTATTCCTGATGAATATTACATGTCTGCTTTGAACCCAGATCTCTGCACAGCCCTAATATGCCCAAGCAGAAAACATACAGGTAGTCCTCGTTTAATGACCACTTGTTCAGCAACTGTTCGAAGTTACGATGGCACTGAACAAGTGGTACTTAAAACCAGTCCTCAAAGTTCCAGCTATCCTAGGACCCCCATGGTCATGAGATTGCAATCGGGATGCTTGGCAACCAGCTCACACTTATGACGGTTGCAGCATCCTGTGGTCATATGATCACCATTTGTGACCTGCCCTGCTGGCTTCCCACAAGCAAAGTCAGTGGGGAAACTGGCAGGGAAGGTTGCAAGTCACTCTGGTAAGTTGCTCACATTCTCCCCCACCCAGCAGCAGCCACCTCCGGGCCTGCCGCGTTCGTGCTGCACCTCACTGGCCACCTGTGCACCCTCCCCAACTTGGCAGCAGCCACTTACCTGTCTGCCGGCCTGCTTGTGAACCACTTGGGACTCATTTAACAACCCACAATCCTCACTTAACAATTGCAATGGGGAGTGCTGGGATTGCTGTTGCTAAATGATGCAGTCACATGTTGTTGTGCTTTATGACCACGTTGCTTAGTGACAGAAATTTCGGTCCCAATTACCATCATTAACCAAGGACTACCTGTAAACAAACTTGCAAGCAATTTTGGATTTAATCACAAAGGTACTAAAGTTTGCTGGGTCAGAATCAGAGTTCCTTATTTGTTTGAAAGTTACAGACAGGTTAAATTTGTCTGACAAGTTGACCAATTTCACATTCTCACAGTTCTCATGCAGAGTTCTTTCTATTACTTGCTATTCACTCTTTTAACTGAAATTTACAACAATTAATCTAGTAATCTTCTGCATGAAAGGCATGTGTTCGTATAATGAATGTTTTTCAATATATCAAATATTTGCACAGTCTCCATACACCAACCTCAGAGAAGGAGCACATGACCTTCTCTTGATCTCAAGCTGCGATTGATCTGAGCTATACTTTTTAAAAGCATTTGATAAAGCCAGGGCAAAAATGGAAATGGATTTCATTTGATTTATGCTTATAATTATGAAAAATAAATATGATTAATGTAGTTACTCTTCAGGTTTACATTTCATAATTTCCCCCTACTATCACATTACAAATTACAATTTAGTAACAGCTTTTTGAAGTCCCTGTGATCCGCAAGTCTCTTAGTTTGTGCCTCTATGGCTTAGGAAGAAAAAAAGCTTTCACAGCCTTGTTTGTTCCTAGGGAAACTTTTTCACTAGAATTTAATCATCCCATTTACACATTTCCCTCCATATTAGTATTGTAGGAAAACTGCATTCTAGAACCACGATACCAAAACTTCAAATATTTGGCAGACATTTCCATCATCAGGTCTTGATATATAAAACCTTTAATAACTTAGATCCTAAATTATCCACTAAACCAATCGCTTACATAAACACCAGTGATAACATTCTTTCCGAGACATCTATTAGTTCTGCCTACCAAATATCCACTCCAGATGGAAGAAGCAATGCGAACACTCCATCCAACAAACCATGGTTTATAGGAAAAAACAGGGAAGAAAGCAATAATTCCCAAAATGACATTTAGGATTCCAAAGGAAATGAGCATTCTTCCAGTAACGAGAAACAGGCTCCTTGTGCTCATTTTGAATGTCTCCTCTTTCCATCTGTAAATTGCACTAGATTTTGCAATAGGCTGACACGTCCCATTACACACTGAAGTGTCTTGGAGACTGTTGTCATGGGTGCTATCTCATTGTTTGCTTACTCAGGTGGAACACAGTTCATTTTATTTTATAATTCTCACTGAAATATTAGGCATTGAAGACAAATTAGGAACAATTAGTATATGCAAGACAGTGTGTCACCTACTGCCTCCCTGGTACACTGCTCTGGTCTGCAGGAGGAAATTCAGTACAATGACATCTCCCCACTTCGCTGCCTTCTGGGTATACTAGGACTCCCAGAATTCTAAGCTAGTGGGGCTGATGGGAGTTCTGGGAATTTCAGTGCCAACACATCTCAAAGTTTATTAAAGGGAGTAGGTTGGTGGAGAGGAAATAGGGAATGGCCTTGAAGGATAGGAGGAAGAGCTGGTACTAGGCAATGGTCAGACAAATGGGGCTTGAGCCCGGGCCAGGAAACTAACTTGAGAAAACATCTCAGACAAGCCCCTCCTTAGTTCACACAAAGATAACTTGAAGGAGGGGGGAAGCACATTCAGACTTGCAAGATCCTGTTACTATAGCTGTTATAATAAAAGTACTGTAGTCCTGACCTGGGTGGCGTTGATTTCTTAGTCTGGTCTACCTTGTAGGGCTGACAGTTGGTTCTTTTGTCTGTTCCTCTGTTAGCCCTCTTTCAGGATAATGTTGCTAAGTCAAAATGCAGGCAAAAAATTTCTTTATGCTTCTCAGAACTATTCCATGGCTGCTTTCTCTCCAGGAGAAGGTTGTAGGGCTGATCCAAGCAATTTTGATCTTAGGACATGCACCACCTACACATAAAGAAGTCAACTAATCCAACAGTTTGTTCTTATTTGGCCCCTCTCCCTGTTACTGCAGGGTAATAGGCTGCTATTGGGGTGCAGGATAGGTTGGGTGGCACAAAGTTCTGGCTTCAAAGAGAGGAGGGTGGGTGGGAGGTTCAGGAGGAGTGACACTCCTCAGCGTCTGTTGCCTAAAGTGATCGACTCCCTCTGTTTAATGCTAAAGCCAGCACCAGAAAGTTCCATCCAATGGGAATACAGTTGCTGGCATCTCAGGAATGTGGAAGACACACACCAGACATGTGGCAGGAAACAGATGAAAACCTTTCAATGTGAAGCGCACAAGAGCTTCAGTTTATGGTAATGTTTGTCCGTACAGCAACTGACCAGGCATAGCATGTTTCTACCTTGACATTACTGGAACAGAGAAAAAGGAAAGGGTTGAGTATGTGCCCGTAACAGCCGTGGGGAAGTAGTGGCTTTTCAGATGCCACTGAATTTTCACTTCCAGCATCCCTCACTCCTGGCTATTGCTGTGAAGAGTTTTGTATTTCAGCAACATCTGGAGATCCATAACTTCTGCATCCATATCTTAGGATCTCTCCTGGGCTTTCCTCTGTTTTGCTGTCCCAGCAGATGTTTTATAAAAGTTAAGCTATTTGTTTTTAGTGCAACAATTTAGCGCGAATTATTTATTAGCAGGGTCAAAGCAGTTTCTCACATAGCTGGCTGCCATTACGAATATAATCATTCCAATGGCATTCAAATGGCCCAAGCATTTAAACAAATCCCAAGAGATGTGGAAAATAAAAAAAATATATTAATGCAAAGAAAGATTGCGATGTTTTGACCATATGTTCAATCTTAAATTAAAAACAATGAAGGTTACTAGTATGAAGCAAGACAGACCTCTTTAAGTGCCCTGATTTATTGTTTAAATAGCTCTTTTGCCCAATTCCCCATGAGGACGAACCACTTCCTTGTGTACACAGAGTTATTGACCTTCTGGCTGAGTCACAGTCATTGTTTTTGGTTATGTTCAGCTGAGCTCAAATGAAAACCTAACATCCTGTGTGTCCAAATTATCCAATAACTCTGACAACTGCAAAGAAGGAAAAAGTAAGCATGGCCCTGGCTTGCAATCACAGTCACCCTACAGGATTAAATATAAAGGGTTCATTAAGGGGGTCTCAGAGGGAATTCTGCCTGCTTTGGGTTAAGATTGGCTATCATCTGCCTTGTTCAGCTGAGGCAGCTTTTCATTTTTGGTCATTGCAACCAGAAAAGAACCAGGGATTAGAGAGATTGTATTGTCCAGAGAACAAGGGAGGAGACTGCATAATCACTGCATATGCTAATCTCTAAGGATAATATCTGCATATGCTAATCTCCCCTGTGACATTGTATGTAAGCGAAAGTTGGACTTTAAAGGAGCAGGAAAAAAAGAATATTGACACTTTTGAACTTTGGTGGAGTGAAAGCAACATTGTTAGAAAAATCAGGGTGCTGAAAGCAACATCCAAACAGTGGACAGAGCCAGAAAGGACTTACAGGGTCTCTCAAGACTCTTGCCTCAATCAAAAGGGTAAATTAATCCCTTACTAAGTTCGATGGCACAGGGTGACTTAGTTGACTGGAGGGGGGGAGATTGGCCCCCAACAGTGTAATGCAGCTACAAAGAAGGACAACAACATCTTGAGGAGCATCAAGAGGAACATAGAGTCCAGCTGGAGGGAAGTAATGATCCCGTTCTACTCTATTTTGGTCAGGCCTCACTTGGAGTACTGAATTCAGTTCTGCACACCCAAGTTTAAAAAAGACATTGATAAATTGGAGCAAGCCAGAGAATGGTTACCAAGATGGTGAAAGGACTGGAAACCAAGTCCTACAAGGAATGGTTCAAAGTCCTAGGTATGTTCAGTTTGCAGAAGGGAGGTTTAAGAGTGGACATTATAGCTATCTCCAAATATCTGAAGGTCTGTCACACTGTAGAGGGTTTGGACTTATTCTCACTTGCCCCAGAGGGTAAGACTAGAAATAATGGGATGTAACTTCAAGGATGTAGATACAGATTAGATACTGGAAGAACTTCTTGACAGTAAGAGCTCTCAGTCAGTGGAACAGGTTACCGCGTGGAGTGGTTTCTTCCCCTTCGCTGGAGGTTTTCAAACAGAGATTGGATAGTCATCTATAGGGGATGGTGTCATGAATCCTGCAGTATGCAGGAGGTTAGGCTTGATGACCTCTTATGTCTCTTCCAACTCTATGATTCTATGATTCTAAACAAACGTGGGTTGGTTTAGGGCTAAATCTAGCCACATCTGCATTAATTGTCTGGGAATTTATCTAAGTCTTCCTGTTCGCGTGGCACGTTAACGACCCTGTTAAGCATGTCATGCGAACACAGACATCAAATGTTAATCCATGAGGGAGAAGGATCGAAACTGGCAAGGCGGTGGGTATAATGTTGTGATCCATGCCCCTCCCCTTTTGTATGTGCACAGAACTACAAAAGACTACCGTGAATCATGAGGCCATGCTCACCATCTTCCAAAGTTTGACCTCCTCCCTGATGGTTCCCTGTGTGGCTTGGAAGAGGTTATATCAGGCCTACAGTGAAGCAGGGCTACGTGGGAGGAAAAATGACTCTGATTTTTTCCATCCTCATTTCATCTGCTGGAAAAGAATGGCTTCTCTTCCCCCCACTCCCTATCATAAAAGAGATCTTGATGAAATTTTCAGTGTTGGAGGTGGCCTTGCGTTTTATGTGCAAATCTTGTTTTCCATCCTGTCTGAGATTTGCAGCCTCCCTGGATTCTCAGAGTCCAGTGAAATCCCAACTCCTTCTTGGGGCATTTTCAGAAAGAAAAGGAAAAGCCAAGGAGGCTTCAGAGAGGTGAAAAGTGAAACAGAAAATAATAATGACACCTTGTGTTGCCACTTTGCAATAATGATGGAAGTGCAAAAACATTTCAGTAAGGCCTGTGAGATACCTGTTGATAAGTCAATATATCATTTCTGGTTTTGATGGTTTCCACAACATTAACATTGCAATGTAAGTAATGAGTATTTTAAACATTTTTCTTCTGATGATTTTCTGTGAATTGAGGCAATTATCTTTCATTTCTTGGAAAGAACAGAAATTACTGGAAACTTGGGAATGGGCAGAAGGTACAGAAGTTTGGAGACATCACTGCTAAAAGTATGAACGCTTTTGAAGATTAGACCAGCGGATGCCCTTGAAGATCGGTCATAGCTTGGGAGGAACTGCTTGCCTAGTAAATGTAACCCCTTTTAACCCTTTCTTTTCTTTCCTCCCTTGTCCAATTGCCCCTGATGTCTGCAGGCAGGAGGGGGTTGTCCCAAAAGACAAGATACAAGGCTAAATCCTATGAAGAGCAGTTAAAGGAATTTGGTATGTTTAGCTTAAAGAAGAGATGGCTAAGGGGAGATATCGCAGCAGTCTTCCAATCCATGAAGGGATGTCACACGGAAGAGGGAGTAGACTTATTCTCCCTCGCACCTGATGATAAGACAAGAACCATTGAGTAGAAGCATTACAGTCAGAGATCCAAATTTGAACTAAGGAGGAATTTCCTGACTGTGAGAGCTTATTAAGCAATGGCTCCTGAAGTTGTGGGTGCTCCATCACTGGAGGTTTTCAAGAGAAGACTGGGCAGCCATTTGTCCAGAATGGAATGAGGACTCCTGGACTGGGCAGGGGGCTGGACTAGAAGGCTGCTTCTACTCTGTTTTTGTTTTTTGCAACTGGAAAGAGGGAGAGGACTCTCTGTATATGGGCATGGCCGTACATAACAAATTGGTTGGTGAGTGTGAAACAGAGAGGTTGGTATATGCCGATGAGGGTAAATTGATTTTATAAATGGGGATTGTATAAATTTAGGAATTGGCTAAATCTTAGGCAATTCATTTTCATCCATTGTTATTACTTCAGTTAATGTATTTTTATCATTACCATCTCCTTTTTTCAGTTGCAAGGTATGCACGTGCAAATGTGACACATACACACATTTATTGTGGAGGGAGAAGCCTGCAGGAGTGGATTCAGCTGGAACTGGCAACCCATGATCAAACATGTAAAAAAAACACCACATTGGCATGATTTTACTGATACGCTCTATATGTCTGATTTGTAT